CAGTAAGTTCATTTTCCTATTCTCTAAGGTGACTGTCTTCACGCCTTACTCCTGCATCCAGGCCCTTCCCCACCCTGAACTTGACTCCATCTCCTCTCTGACTTACGCCTCATGGAGAAAATCAGAAGCCATCAAAATGAGGCACCCTCCTCTTCCAAACAGCTCTACAAACCCGCCCACACCCATTTCCACAGCCTCAGCTATTCCGCTTGTGATCTGGATCCGGCCCCCTCTTGAATTCTCATCACTCCTGTACTTACCATGGTTTACCCCTGCGACAAGCTCTCCGTCTTCTGCCTCCATCAGCATAAAAACATGCCCTGTTGTCTTCTGTTTAATACTCCCTTGACCCCTAGATACCGCCTGGTTTCGTGTCCATGCGCATTTTTTTGGTAACTTTGTGACAAAGTTGTCTCTGTTTACTTTACCACCTTATCCCCTCCACCCCATCTCTTGAATCTTCTCCAGTCGGACTTTCTCTTATCCAGCGTTCAAACCAGGGTGAACGGACATCTCTGGGAGAGGAGTAAATAGAGTGGTGACGGCAAGGGGGAGGCCCACTCGGGCAGCTCGGGGGAAACAGCCTTGGTGGTCAACAAGGAGTCAGATCCCAGCGTCAGATCACTTTGCCAGTCTAGAAGGAGAGCTGAGAACCAGAGAGACAGAGTGACTCACCATTTACTCTCTGGGAGTAAATGTTACTACATCCAAGGGCAAGTAAAGAGGGAGAAAAGGGTGAAAGAGGACGGTTCCTACATTTGGAGGTTGACTGGAGAAATCAGGTATCAAGAATGTGGAAACTACAGTATCATAGAAACCAAGGAATGAAAAACAGAGTGGGAGAGAGCGTAAGGACCTGGAGGTCGCAGGAATAAATAAATGATCCCAAGGGCTCAGGGAGAGTGGTTAACACCTGTAAATGGTTTCCTTTGAGGAATAAAGGGACAGAAGAAGGTAAAGCAAATGTAAAATTTGATCCTAAGCAAAAAATAAATGATCAATATAGATAGTATGGTACTTACCCAATGGCTACTAAATCTTCATGATGAGGTGAGCAAGTAAGACAGAAAATCGTCCTGGGTTCTATAAAAAGGTGCTGGCTGTCATTTCTGTTTAGCCAGTAACAGAAAACTACTCCTTTTTCATCTCCAGATACTATTAAATCCTTTACTCGAGGAGACCAATGCAATGCTGATATTGTATGCTTTAAAACAAAACAAAAATGCATTTGCTTTTTTGCCACCCAGTCTAAGATAAAAGTAATTCCCAATACAGGCAAAGCCCCCTGTATATGTCACCCTAACCAAACTCTGTTCCTCTCCTCCCCAGAGGGAAACTGATATTTGTGAATTTTGTGTTATACATCATCCCTAGCCTTTCTTTGTTTATATCCCTAAATGAGATACAGAATTATTTTGTGTATTTTTAAACTTCATATAAATGGTATCACATGGTCTGTTTTTCTGCGGCTTGCTTCACTCATTCTGTTTGTGAGTCGGCCGCGTTGACACTGTATTAGTTGTCAATGCTGAATTTCTACTTAGTTTTTAACCAGTATAATACTAGGCACATTATAGGCACCTACTGAATACTGTTAGCACCACTTGTATAGCAAATGGTGGGAGAATTTAGGCTACTGAACATCAAAGAACCACTTAAAATAATTTCTGTCTTTAATAGCTTAATGGAAAAGTTCTTACTAAGAGTACAAATAAGTCTTTTCCTTTCCTACATTGTCTCAAAAGACAGGTATATCAAGTAATCTGGTTTAGAAGCAAGTTTCACTTACTGATTTATAGTTTATATCAGGAGTCTATTTCATATAAAGAACCAGAAAGTAAATATTTTAGATTTTGTGGGACACATTGTCTCAGCTGCAACTATGCAACTCTGCGGATATAGCATGCAAGCTACCAATACTTAAATGAATGATGGCTATAGTACAGTAAAACAATTTGCAAAAGCAGTGTAGTTTGCTGACCTTTGGTTTATAAGCATTGCCTTCCAAAAATGTTTCCTAAAATATAGAGCTTCTTATCCAATTACTGAACACAATTATAAAAGTTACCTTGCACAGGCATGCTAGCAAAATTCTACTCAAAGCAAAAGAAACCTTGGCACAGATCTATGACCACAGTCTGAGAAACCAGTAAGCCATGGTACCTGATGAAGTGCATGTTCAGTCACAACGGTTTTTGTCTCTACATCCCATATTTTCACAGTCCCATCGTCGGAGCTGGTGGCACAAAGGTTGTACTGACCCGGGTGATGAGAAAATGTGAAGCCAGAGACTCTTTCGGTGTGTCCCACCAACTCCCCTATGACTTCAAACAAAACCAGACTCCAGGTTAAAGTGCTACCTAAAATAGTGAATCACACTATTGTTAGATAATGAATGGGATCTCACTTGTCCCATGGGACAAAAATATCCAGGGACTCGTTTCATCTCCCTGAGCTTCAGTTGTCTCAACTGTAAAAAATGCTGTTGATAGTCCCTGTTGTGCTAGTTCATACAGTGAGGAGTAGCTCAAAGGAAGAACGTGATTCTTATTTAGATCTGGCTAGAGATTGCTTGGAATAAAACATCTGACATGCCACATCCCAAGGTATAATCAAAACCTTGTTTGGAGCCCAAAAGCATCTGTCTCAACTCCCTCATCTTAAGTAAGTATCATATATTTGTAGGATCTTGCTTAGGGCCTGGAGCTGTAGGCAGCTCCCTGATCCCAGGGAGGCTCTTAAGGGGTCCACGCACACTGGGTGGGGGAGGGAAGCCATAAATGTTAAAAATACTTGGGTCTAGACAAGGACACTTTCTAATAAGCGAGCAGTCCCCACGTGAGAGCGCCAGGAGGCGGGACAGCTCATCCACAACGTTGTGTAGCTGAGTACTAGAGATCGGAACGCGCTTCACCTTCGGGGTTGTGAGCAGAGTCTTCTCTCTGCCTGGGCCTCAGTTTCTCCATCTGTAGAGGGATCTCACTTAGGGTATAACAAAAATACCCAGGGACTCACAATCAGAAACCTCCAATGCTGGTACTGGCTTTGCCATGTGCTTTCAGATAAGTCATTTTATCTCCTCGAGCCTCAGCATGTCTGAGGATGTACAATCGGTGCCTCCAGGGAACACGAGAAGTGCAGGAAAAGTGGGGGCAGGGTGAGAGAGTTACCTCGAAATGGGGGCGTCCCAGGGATCGCGCCCGCGCCTGGGCCCACGCGGACAAGGAAGACGGAGGTACGCGCCGCGAACCCGAAGAGGCCCCCGGGCACGGCATCGCTGCATCGGGTGCAGTACCAGTTGGGAGAGGGTGGCAGCGTGCGCGGCTCCAGGCTCATGATCACAGGCCACTAGGGAAGAGAGAAGGAGTCAGTGGGGCAGACCGTTTGCAGCCCCACGCTGTAGCCGGGAAGGGGGCGGGGTTTAACTCGGAGCCCCACCTCCCGGGCCCGCTGCTACGGCGCGCGCGGAGGCCCAGGCCGCACCGCGCGCTCTGCGCCAGCCACCACAGGGCTTCGAAGAGCGTAAGCGCGTCGGGGGCACTCTACTCCCAACCTCGCCCGAGGCAGCAGGATCTGTTGCTGGCTGAGTCCAGCCAGGGGTTTAGGAGTTCTTGCTTCCTACTGTCAAGGTACCTAATGGTTGGTGGAGTCTTCTTCCCGCCCTGCCGGTTTATTCTTTGGCCCTGTTCAACGCTGCCCCATCAAGTAATTTTTGAACGCAATGTATCAGGGCACTTCGCAGCTCTGGAGATTCTTTAGCGGTTTTCAACCGCTGTGCTGAGGCACACTCATGTGCAGCAAGAATTTTAAAAACGTGAATACCTGGCTATTTCGTCAGAGGCACTGACCTCTTTTCCCTTAGATTGTCAAATAAAATAAATGACAACAGCCAACACAATAGCTGTCAGATGTGAATGAATTAAAATTATACGTAATTTTTGTCAAAGTGGCAAAAAATATAGTTTTTGGTGTGCCACAGCATTTTAGTAATTAGTTCGTGTGCCACAAGATGGAAAAGGTTGAAAGTCTCTGCTTTTAAGATTACAAGAAGCCAATTAACAAAAAGATAAAAGTTCAGATCAGAACTCCAAAAGGAAAGAGTTAGTGCGGTTGGGTGGAAATTCTGGCTGTGGGTTCTTGGTAACTCCAGAAGAATAGAGTGACTCAGTTTGATTGAGTGCGAACTCTGTGAAACTGTACGTAGTAAGTGCTGTGAAGGAATAAGGTGGAAGTTTCCTTTCAATTCAAACACTCTAAAATGCTCAGATTTCTGCACTTACACTCTCATACACCTGTAATGCTTGTTTGCATGGGTGTCTGGCACTCTTGCATGTGTGGCAGATGAGACCTGAGATATCTATCTTAATGTAGAGACTTCAAAGGTATGTATTCGGCTGTAGGTTGGGGCACTAACTTTGGAGGCATACAGCCCTAGATTGACTAACGGTTTCAACCTATCTGAAATTTTCGTTTGAAGAAGGATGATGATAATCCACACCTTGTTGGATCGCTGTAAGGAATACTGAGATTTAGAGAAACGCCTGCTGGACATATATGGTAACAAGTGCCAGATGATTATTAACTTTTATCTCTTGTAAATCAACCGGGAGATTAATGGGGATTAGGACCTCATACTTTATATTTGAACTGTTTGTTTTATAAAAGAGCTTTCCACATGATCTTTGGTGTTCTTAAAACAAAAGTGCTGTAGGGATAATTATTCTATTTTACTGGCTAGAAAACTGAGGCCCATCCAAGTTAGGTGGCTTTTTCACGGTCCCTGTTTTCCTAATCCTTTCAGACCATTTTGGATCCCTACGAATTTCCGGAATCTCGTAGTTTTCGGCCTTTGTTAAGTCATTCATTCCCAAGTTGGGTTGGGCAGACCACAACTGAAGTGCCGGCCCCGCGTGTTCGTGGTCTCCATGACAACACCGCAGGCGTGGGGACTACAGTGCTTTCCGCCGGGGAGAAAAGCGGGGAATTGCGCATGCGTCTCGTCCAGACCCTGATTGAGCTCGGAGGCTTCCGTAGAGGGTGGGAGAAAGATGGCGGCGGCCATTCTGGAACGGTTGGGTAAGGATTTCTTAGTGGTTCAGGAGCAGTAGAAAGGAGTGGAGGTGGGAGTCTGAGCTGACGGCTTGTGTTGCTCTTGCAGGTGCGTTATGGATGCAGCATCTGAGGGGGAAGCTGGCCTCGCGGTAAGTCGCCTTGGAGTTGCAGAAGGGCCCAAGGTTTCCTTACTAGTCGTGTCAGTCAATTACTAAGACCCTCTGCGCCGGACTCTGCTTTAGGTTCTGGGCTAGGGTGGAGACAGCCAGAGCCCGCTGTCACCCCATCATCCTTCCGCCTTACTTCATAGCCCTCAGGGCGTTAGAATTACCTTTTCCCCCAAGGGATATCGTAGATATGTTTTCAAAACAGGTTCTTCTGGTCTTTCTGAACACAGCTGGACTCTCCCAGCCCTGTCGCAGCGTCCAGCTTTCCTCGTTAGCCCTGTAGTTACTCGTTTGCACGAACAGAGACTGTGTTACAGACAGCCGCAGCTTACAACGTGCCTGGTATTGTGTTAATTGCTTTCTAAGCGTTATTCATTCTCATAACATCTTGTATAGTGTTCAAACCTCTGTACCCATTTTCAGACAAGGACCTTTGGAGCTCTCAAAAGTAAGATAACTTGCCTGAGGTCCCCCAGTTATAGGAAGTTTTGAAGCTTTATACTGTACTCTCCAGAGTGTTCTTTGACCTCAGGACAAAAGCATTGCTTCAGGTTAGGGAACGTAGTCGGGTCAGGACTGGCAAGAAGCCTTTCCCATTCCTTTCTTTCTGTCCTTTTGCACAACAGTGATCCACATTTGGAGGTTGATAACATGATTGTAAATTTTCTGGTCGGTGCTTTTCTTAGCCTTTATTTTGGTTTATACAGGCTTTGGAGACTGATAAGATGGGTTCAGATCTACTTTTTAACTGTGATTTGGGGAAAGTTACCCTCTCTAAGTTTCAGTTCTCATATGCTATAAGAGGATTAGTACCTACCAAAAGGGGGGTGGGGTGTGTGTGTGTGTGTGTGTGTGTGTGTGTGTTTAATGAGGATTAAATGAGATAGTGCATATGAAATGTTTGGTACAGTGCATGGCATGTAATAATCCCACACTCAATGCTAGCTGCCATTACTGTTTTTATCAGTATAAATGATCATTGAGCCCTTGCTAGTGTGGCTCAGTTGGTTGGAGTGTCGTCCTGCACACCAGAAAGTTGGGAGTTTGATTCCCAGTCAGACACATACCTTTTTTTTTTTTTTTAAATTAATTTATTTACTTTTTAAATACATTTGTCTCTGCCTTCCCCCCACCTCTTTCCCTTGCCCCCTCCCACCTTCCCTCCCTCAGCTCTTCCCCTTTGGTTTTGTCCATGAGTCCTTGCTATATGTTCCTTGACTTTCCCCTTCCCTTCCCTTTCCCTGCCCCCCCCTTCCCTCTTGTCTCTGTTGATTTCTTTTCCTTTCAGTGTTGCTGGTCATATTTTCCTTGCTTCTTTGCATTGTTGGTTAGGTTCCGCTTATAGGTGAGATCATATGGTATTTGTCTTTCGCCCCCTGGCTTATTTCGCTTAGCATGATGCTCTCCAGTTCCATCCATGCTGTCGCAAAGTTTAGTACTTCTTTTTTCTTTCTGCTGCGTAGTATTCCATTGTGTATATGTACCATAATTTTTTGATCCAGTCATCCACTGATGGGCATTTAGGTTGCTTCCAACACTTGGCTATTGTAAATTGTGCTGCTATGAACATTGGGGTGCACAGGTTCTTTTGTATTGGCGTTTTGGTGTTCTCAGGGTATAGTCCCAGCAGGGGAATCGCTGGATCAAAAGGCAGTTCCATTTTCAGCTTTCTGAGGAAATTCCACACTGCTTTCCATAGTGGCTGCACCAGTCTGCATTCCCACCAACAGTGGACTAGAGTTCCCTTTTCTCCACAGCCTCGCCAGCACCTGTTGTTTGTGGATCTGTTTGTGATGGCCATTCTGACCGGTGTGAGGTGATACCTCATGGTGGTTTTGATCTGCATTTCTCTGATGGCTAGTGATGCAGAGCATCCTTTCAAATGCCTCTGGGCCCTCTGTATCTCCTCCTTAGAAAAGCATCTGCCCAGGTCCTTTGCCCATTTTTTGATTGGATCGTTTGTCTTCTTGGAGTAAAGTCGAGTGAGTTCTTTGTATATCTTGGAGATCAAACCTCTATCTGATGTATCATTAGCGAATATATTTTCCCAAATGGTTGGCTCCCTTTTCATTTTGCTGATGTTTTCTTTAGCCGTGCAGAAGCTTCTTATTTTGATGAGGTCCCACTTGTTTATTCTTTCCTTTATGTCCCTTGCTTTAGGAGACATATCAGTGAAAAAATTGCTGCGTGGGATATCTGAGAGTTTCCTGCCAATGTTCTCCTCTAGGACTTTGATGGTGTTGCGACTTATATTTAAGTCTTTTATCCATCTTGAGTTTATTTTTGTGTATGGTGTCAGCTGATGATCCAATTTCAATTTTTTGCATGTAGCCATCCAGCTCTCCCAACACCATTTGTTGAAGAGGCTGTTATTGCCCCATTTTATGCTTCTGCCCCCTTTGTCAAATATTAGATGTCCATAGAGACCTGGGCTTATTTCTGGGCTTTCTGTTCTGTTCCACTGGTCTATGGGTCTGTTCTTGTGCCAGTACCAGATTGTTTTGAGTATAGTGGCTTTGTAGTAGAGTTTGATGTCCGGTATTGTGATCCCTCCTACTTTGTGTTTCTTTCTCAAAATTGCTGCTGCTATTCGAGGTCGTTTATGGTTCCATATAAATTTTTGAAATGTCTGTTCTATTTCTGTGAAATACGTCATTGGTATCTTAATAGGGATTGCGTTGAATGTATAAATTGCTTTTGGTAGTATGGACATTTTAAGGATATTAATTCTTCCAATCCATGTGCACGGTATATGCTTCCATTTATTTGTGTCTTCCTTAATTTCTTTTTTCAATGTTGCATAGTTTTCTGCATACAGGTCTTTTGTGTCTTTGGTTAAATTTATCCCTAGGTACTTTATCTTTTTTCGTGCTATATCGAATGGTATATTTTTCCTGATTTCTTCTTCTTCTATTGTATTGCTGGTGTACAGAAACGCCTTTGATTTCTGAATGTTGACTTTGTATCCTGCTGTTTTGCCAAATTCACTTATTAGGTTGAGGAGTTTTTTGGTAGAGTCTACAGGGTTCTCTATGTACACTGTCATGTCATCTGCAAACAATGATAGTTTTACTTCCTCCTTTCCTATTTGGATGCCTTTTATCTCTTTCTCTTGTCTGACCGCTGTGGCTAGGACTTCCAATACGATGTTGAAAAGAAGCGGTGAGAGCGGACATCCTTGTCGTGTTCCCGATCTTAGTGGGCAGACACATACCTTGATGGCAGTTTCCATCCCCAGTTGGGGCACGCGTGGGAGGCAGCCAATCAATGTGTCTCTCTCACATTGATGTCTGTCTGTCTGTCTGTCTCTCTCGCCTTCCACTTCCTCTCTCTCTAAAATCAATAAACATTTATTGAGTTCCCATTTTTTTTTTTTTTTAGCTCTGTCCTTGGTTCTTGGTTCAAGGGGCTGAAGAGGCTAATGAAGAAAATAGGGTGTACGGCCCTAAGGATTTGTCTACACTTTTCTACCTTAGGTTACCTTCCATCACTTCACCCCAGCCATGCTGATTAACTTACTTTCTTCTGCTTATGTTGTGTGTTTACTTGCCTCTTGGCTTTTCATGCTGTGCCCTCACTTCCCATCTATAAGAGCAGTCCTACTCATTATTTAAATCCCTGTTCAAATGCTCCACCTTCAGGAGGTTTTCTCAGGCCTCACTAAAAATGAAAGGAATTAATTTCTCCTTCCTTTTACCATGCGTGCCTTGAATAGTGGCTTCATGTGTGTGTGTCAGTGCCCTTGACTAGCTGTGAACCCTCAGTTCTTGTTTTTCTTTGTAGCTCCAGCATAGGACTTGAATAAAGTTTGCTAATGTTTATTGATTTAAATTGTCCTGCACTGATTTAAACTGGGAAGCTCTGAGCCAAGTAACTTAAGCAGTTTGGCTTCAGTTTTTTCATCTATGTCATACAAGATGGTTGGATTCTTCTAGATAATCTCTTAAGGCTCTTTGTAGTTCTGAAATATAATTTTATGAATCCCTATTCTGGACTTTCTAATAGGGAGATGATCACATGAAAACTAAGTAGAAAAGATATGAATAATGCTCATGATAACTGTAAAATCTTAGAGATCATCTAATTCCGTCATTGGAAACTAATCGCATAGGATGCTAGAAGAGAATAAAGTAGAAGTGGTCTTTGTAAAATGAGAGAGTGTGGTAGGGCCTGTAGCAGTTTAAATTTAGGGTGCATTCCTCATGTAAAGGTTTTGAATTGGGTTAAGAAAAATGCTGCTGACCATATAAAACTTTTCTGCAGGCTGTGTTTGGTAGCAGACTGACAGTTAACAACCTTTGAGTTCCAGGTCTCCTATTTTACCAACGGATGCATTTGAGAAATTTTGTGACTTACTAAAGGTTCCATAGTAAATACATGGCAAATCTAAGATCTAAACGAACAAGTTCTTTGGCTTTAAATTGTTCTGTCACACCATGGGCCCAGAACAGGTTTGTGAGAGTTCTTTGGGAAGAGGGGACCTAAGTTCAAATAGAGTGAAGAGTGCATTTCTATGATTTACAAATGAAGGGTTAGTGTAAAGGCACTTGCGACTGTGGTGTCTGTAGTTTAAAAATCTCCACAAGAAAAATCAAGTTGGAAGTGTCATGAATTAGCAGTGTTGTGGGGAAAGTACTACAGCCATGTGATACCCACACTCGAGTAGACGCTGGCTGCAGAAGCTAGAGGTGGTCTCTGCCAGGGACAAATATCCCTAAACATTTTGCTTAACGTCTCTGAGGCTCAGTGTCATCATCTCAGAAAGCGAGGAGGACATCTACGCTAGAGGGTGGCGGTGGGAGTTAGGAGAGAATTGGTAGTGAAGCATCTGGCACAGGGCCTGGCACTGTGGAGGCGGCGTGGCGGGGATGCCAGCGCCGTGACGATCTTTCCCCGGAATCACATTGTATTCTGGAACCAATCATTAGCCACCTGAAACTCTTAGATGAGGTTACATATTTTATCTATTGCCCCACATTTAT